TCTGCAAAGTGACCAATCATGACACGATATTCAATTTGTGTGATCGACCAATCACGAGAAAGTTATCCTATATCTAAATAACCAAGGCCAAATGTATTAAGTAAAAATGTTTAGCATCTCGTCTATAACTTCTAATTTTATCTAATTTTTTAACCCTAACTTAAGTATTGACAAAATTATACGTATATATAAAATTGACCAATTATAATTGATTATGTAATCTTCAAATTTGGCGTTTTGAATGCTTTTTGCTGTAGAGTTTAGATAAAATTAATTTTAATAGTCAAAATGCCCCTTACCTAAAAAATATGTCGTTAAGGCAATTCCAAAAAATATACATAGATTATTATGAACTTTATAATAATCCTTTTAGAATTGCTGGTTTCCCTTAGCAGTGTCGGACCATGACAAGGTCATCCGAGTTCAATTAGTAAAATCGTACATGATTTTATTGATTGAACTTAAGTGATATGACCCGAAATGACCTTACATAATTATGCGTATAATATATATTAATAATAAAAAAAATGGGTTGTTGCCCAGCAAAACCATACTTAGAGTATATAAAAAAATATATATATACTCTAAGCATGGTTTTGCTGGGCAACAACCCATATATTTGCACCGGAGTGCGATCAACCAATCAAAACGAATTTATTGTAAAAAAAAAAAAAAACCATCCATAATAAAGTGCCAACAGTAAATCATTCCAATACCGACACACTAATTAAAAATTTTAACTGCAAATGATCGAGTACTACTAGCAAACTTAGTTGTAGTACAAAGAGACCTTTATCTAGCCACAATCAAAAATCATTAAACATATTTAAATAAATCTAATAACTCTCACTTTACGGTATATATATACGTATAAGAAATAACTACGTATATATATAGTTTATTAACATTTATGAGTAACACTCATAGCCACACCTAACCTCTTAAGTCTGTGACAAAATTCTAAGCTATATACATCTATATATCTAAATATATACACATCGATGAATTACAATAAATATATTATAAGCCACTAAACAAACCTAATTATATATATATACAAAATTAATGCCTAATTGATTAAGTTCTAGGAATTAAATTATCTTTATTTTTAATTTCTTAATTAGATTTTCATAAATCCTAAATATCTAGATTATATAGTTCAATTAAAATTATTTTTTTTTTTTGTGGTGTTGAAATTCAAAATCGCACAAAGAATTTCTTTTTTATACCACTACTTCCACCAAAAACAAAAATTCCTATACATTTTTAATTAACTATTCACAAACTACCTATCAAATTTTTTCGGTTCATTCAACTAATTCTTTTTCTCACATCATTTTTGGCTTTTTTAAACGACCACCTACCGACCACTCCTTAATCAACTCTTCTTTCACAACTTCTTCTGTTACCCACCTTAACAATTCATCTGCACTATTCCTTGCCTGTGGATTGGGATCGAGGCTTCGATACAACAACCTTTTAGAATGTTCACCTCTTACATCCTTTGAGAAGAAAGTTCCGATTAGGACTTTAATTCAATAAAAACAGTATATACAAAATGACAATATACCTTCTCAATTCGGAGGCTAATTTTTTCTGCATTTGACACCAGTTCTCGTAATAATTTGATATTTGTGTCAAGAAGACCATTCCATGGACTTTCAGAATTAAAGAAAAAAATTAATTAAACTTTACAACAAAAAAAAAAAGGAATTTCTTTCCAAATTAATATTTTATGAATACTTACGCTTGACCTGAAAATGTACGCCAAATTAGAACGCCAATCGAATAAATATCTTCGGCACAAGGGTCATACGGCCCCAAAATTTCTTTGTCATGATTATTTTTTGGAAGTGTCATGATGGATCTAAATTCAAATAATGAAAACACACGAATTTTAGCAAGAGTAAAAATATTTAACTTAATAATAATAATATAAAACACACCTATATAGTCTATAACCATGGTCTGGTGGCGTTTTAATCATGGGCAAAATGCTGAGCCTCTCATCCTCAACAGTTCCAACGGACCACCTGACAAATAAATAATTTCAATATATTTGGATCTTTTGATAAATAATAATTTTGAATGAATGATTTACCTTTTAACGTCAAAAGGTCGGACAAATTCGGCTTTACCAAAGTCGATTATGACTAATTCCGGCATTATGCTACCATCCTTCAATTTTTCGCCAGTTTCCGATACCATCATATTGACCTCGGAAAGGTCCCGGTGTGCAAAGCCGGCTTGATGAATGGCTCGGATACCTCGTAGCATATCGACAATGAGCTTATATTTTTGTTCACCCGTTAAGACACGCCTTGAATTGAAAGCATAATCTTTCAGAGTTTGCTCGTACCTATAAATAAAATAGGTAGAATAAATTGCAATTAGGATATTGTTAAAATGTTTTAAACGATTGCTCATATATTTATTAACGTTATATAAATGTTGCCAAATTAAAACCAGTGAATTTCTCAATTCCCAGATTTTAATTTTGCAATACTCATATAACAAATTTGAGAATATACCTTTCCATTGACAGTCCGACTAATTCGTCGCTGGGACTCTTATAAATTGACCTAATCTGGCCAGCATTCGCAACACCCTTGGTTTTGCTAAAAACAGTGATCGTAAGAGTTAATAATCTGAATATAAGAAATTATAAATTATATGAATAAAACATTACTCACAGACAACACACAGCCTCCCTAACACGAGTTTCCAATGTATCTGACGTGATTTGCTTAAAGTTTTGAACAACGAAACTAGTGTCATCGGCAAAATGAAACACTCTTTTGAAAGTCCCTTCGGCCTCGATTTTAATGTTTCCGAGATCATGGAAACATTCAATAGGAACATTTCGTGCTTTTGCCTCTGTAAACAAATAAATAGACAACAATAAAAAATAGTTAATAACGGTAATAGAATAATCATCTAAATAGGTTTATCCGTTGGCTACTACTATCCGCATATCTTTTTTTTCCTTTATGTGTCAACTATAAAAACTAGTATCACAAGTGCATTAAAAAATTATGTGGATGGCAGAGATAATTTAGTTATACCCTATCTATCAGGGTTTCTAAGTGAAATTTTACCAGGAAATAACAGTTGTTATGCGCCCTGCGCTTATGCAGCAGATCACATGCCAATTATACTTTCTCAATAAATTTCCACATATACCTAGATTTCAGGATATAGCTATAATTAACATAAAAAAAAGGAAGAGAGGAAAAAGATAACGTTACCCTTAACAAGATGTTCCCAAATAGATTGAGGAGTTTGAGGTTCGATTATTGCATCTTCTTGTTGCCTTAACTGTAAAGCATCAAGTAAAGCATCATGAAATTCAGGAGTCAGCAATTCCTTTTGATATTCTACAACTTGAAAAGTAGATTTTACACATTTATCAT